TTAAGTGAAAATCCGACCCCCTTTATAATTTTTGGACCCCGGTAGCGGTGGGTCCTAACCGCCAGGGTATTCTTGGCACCCCGAAATTAATTTGACCCCCCTTAAGTTCAAATCCGACCCCCTTTACAATTTTTTAACACCCAGAGCGGTGGCTCCTAACCCCTAGGCTTTTCTTCGTACCCCGAAATTTATTTGACCCCCCTTAAATGAGAATCCGACCTCCTTGATAGTTTTTGGATCCCTTTAGCGGTGGGTCCTAACCGCCAGGGTATTCTTGGCACCCCGAAATTAGTTTGACCCCCCTTAAGTTGAAATCTGACCTCCTTTATAATTTTAGGATCCCTAGAGCGGTGGGTCCTAACCCCCTGGCTTTTCTTCGCACTCCGAAATTAATTTGACCTCCCTTAAGGGAGAATCCGACCCCCTTTGTAATTATTGGACCCCTGTAGTGGTGGGTCCTAACCGCCAGGGTATTTTTGGCACCCCGAAATTAATTTGACCCCCCTTAAGTTGAAATCTTACCGCCTTTATAATTTTTGAACCCCTTTGGCGGTGGGTGTTAACCGCCAGGGTATTCTTGGCACCCCGAAATTAATTTGACCCCGCTTAAGTTGAAATCTAACCCCCTTTACAATTTTTTGACCCCTTTAGCGGTGGGTGCTAACCGGTAGGGTATTTTTGGCACCCCGAAAGTAATTTGACCCCCCTTAAGTGAGAATCCGACCCCCTTTATAATTTTTGGACCCCTGTAGCGGTGGGTCCTAACAGCCAGGGTATTCTTGGCACCCCAAAATTAATTTGACCCCCTGTAAGTTGAAATCTTACCGCCTTTATAATTTTTGGACCCCTTTAGCGGTGGTTGTTAACGCCAGGGTATTCTTGGCACCCCGAAATTAATTTGAATCTCCTTAAGTTAAAATCCGACCCCCTTTATAATTTTTGGACCCCTTTAGCGGTGACTGCTAACCGCCAGGGCATTCTTGGCACCCTGAAATTAATTTGACCCCCCTTAAGTTGAAATCCGACCCGATTTATAAATTTTGAACCCCTTTAGCGGTGGTTCCAAACCCCCAGGCTTTTCTTCACACCCCGAAATTAATTGGACCCCCCTTAAGTGAGAATCCGACCCCCTTTACAATCTTTGGACCCCTAGAGCGGTCGGTCCTAACCGCCAGGGCATTCTTGGCACCCCAAAATTAATTTGACCGCCCTTAAGTGAAAATCCGACGCCCTTTATAATTTTTGGACCCCTGTGGCGGTGGGTTCTTACTGCCAGGAGATTCTTGGCACCCCAAAATTAATTTGACCCCCCTTAAGTTGAAATCCGACCCCCTTTATAATTTTTGGACCCCTTTGGCTGGGTCCTCATTGCCAAGGCATTCTTGGCACACCGAAATTAATTTGACCTCCCTAAAGTGAAAATCTGACCCCCTTTATAATTTTTGGACCCCTTTAGCGGTGGATGTTGACCGCCAGGGCATTCTTGGCACCTCGAAGTTAATTTGACCCCCTTTAAGTGAGAATCCGACCCCCTTTTTAATTTTTGGACCCCTTTAGCGATTGGTCCTAACGGCCAGGGTATTCTTGGCACCCCAAAATTAATTTGACCCCCTTTATATGAGAATCTGACCCCCTTTATAATTTTTGGACCCCTAGAACGGTGGGTCCTAACCACCAGGGCGTTCTTGACACCCCGAAATTAATTTGAACCCCCTTAAGTGAGAGCCCCCCCCTTTTTAATTTTTGGATCCCTTTAGCGGTGGGTGCTAACCGCCAGGGTATTCTTGGCGCCCCGAAATTAATTTGACTCCCCCTTCCGTCCCCCTTTATAATTTTTGGACCCGATCGTCATTCTTCACACTCCGAAATTAATTACAACCCCCTTAAGTGAGAATCCGACCCCCTTTGCAATTTTTGGACACCTTTAGCGGTGGGTCCTAACCACCACGACATTCTTGGCACTTCGAAATTAGTTTAACCCCCTCGAAGTGAGAATCCGACCCCCGTTGTAATATTTGGACCCCTTTAGCGGTGGGTCCTAACCCCAAGATCCTTCTTCGCACCCCGAAATGAATTTGACCACCCACAAGTGAGAATCTAAACCCCTTTTTAATCTTTGGACCCCTTTAGCGGTGGGTCCTAACGGTCAAGTGAGTGGAGCACAAATCGAAGAAAGGCTGGACGACAGAACTTGGTCGTTCTTCGCGCCCGCGCCTATACTGAGCCTCTTGGCGCGAAAGAGGGCCGACGTTTTTCTGCAAAACGAGTACGAGCTTTGAATTTTACGAACATTTCGGTCGTCCCCCCACAAAACTCTTTAGTTTCCTTAACCAACGGTCGTGTAGCCGGGAAACTAAAATAAGTGAAAATTTTGTTTTCCCCCTTGATTCTTTCGTGAACAGCTCCGTCTTGTAGTGAAAGTGCGCGACGGAGCCAAGGAAGCTGAAGAGTTCTCCAGCGGGAAGTTCGAAATATTCGTAAAATTCAAAGAACGTTCCGGTTTAGCGAGAAAAGTTCCGCCCCAAGCCGTTGAGTTTTGTAGCGAGAAAATAAAAATAAGTGAAAATGTTATTTTTCCCCCGATTCTTTCGTTACAGTCCCGCCTCAGAGGAAAGGGGCGAGCAAACCTGAGAGGAGACACCGACACAGGCCGTTGAGTTTTGCAGCGGGAAAACCAAAATAAATAAAAATTTTGTCTTTCCCGGGTAAGCCACAGTATTCGCGGAAAGGGACTGCTTGCAAGCGGAAATCTGGCGCGGGCGGGATGACGGGAAGACGTTGCAGTTACAAAATTTGGGAAAGACGACAAAATTTGAAAATATTTTGGACTTCCCGCTACTTTCTATGACCCGGAGGTCGCCGCGACTTCCGACTCAACAGTGGTTTCAGAGGTGCTCTCACTTGTTTTTCGCGGAGCTTTGTCATTTGCTTTTGTACGTTTACACCGGTGAGGCAAGTGACTTTCCTACTGCGGCAACAGGAAGCCGAGGGGATTGCTGCGCACGTGCTTAGAGAGACGAGACCGCTTCCGTCGCTTCCGTTCATGTAATCATCTTTGCGACCTTTCGCTTTCACAAGATGGACGTTCCTTGCAACAACTCACTGGATTATGTAGGTGGCCCTGACGCCGGCTGTAGTCAAGAAGTGCAAGGACTAAGTGAAGCAGTGCCTTTTATTCTCAGCGATGTCGAATCCGAGCTCTATTTGCCGCCAGATCTTCTTGTTTCTGAAGGTAGGCGAAAACGTTGTAAGGGAAGTAGCAGCGTTCATGGCATCCGTCGTGTAACATCTTTTGCGCGTGACAGGCATCAACGTCACAAGCGGTCTTCAGAATGGCTAGCGGAAAGCGCTAGCGACACATTTGGTAAGAGTTCGTCCACAGACGAGCTCGAGAAAGCGTAAGAGATGTTATCTCAGGAAGTTAGAAGAGGTATCTTCAGCGCAACACCGGCCGAGGAGAAAGCTCCTTACAACTTAGGCAAAAGAAAGAAGAGCACACGCGTGTAGAACAAGAAGGCAAAGTTGAACACGAGCTTGGGAAACATCGAAGAGATAGTCAAGCAAAAGTGTTGCAACAGCCAATGTGTGAAGAAGTTCTTCATCCACGACATATTCAACGTGCGCGAAATGTTTTGGTCCTTGAAGCAGCCAGAACAAGTGAACTTCCTCCTTGAGCAGACGAGGGAAGCTTCGTACTTCTCAGACACTGACGAACTTTTGAAATTAAGAGTGACGTTCAAGAAGATGAGAGTTTGTACACGAGCCTGGGGTATGTTGTACGCATGTTCGACGTGGCGCACGGCTGTTGTTCGACGCACGTTCTTGGATGGCGTCCGAACTTACGAACACAAGAACAAAGGTTCTTCCAAACACTCGGTGAGTACAGGGAAAGTGTTGGCTTAGTTGCAGAATTATTTCCGCTTAAACACGGAAAGTATGCCGAACAACGATCAATTTCATCTCTCAGACACTCTGTTGCGCAAGGACGTCTACGATCTCTTCTTAAGAGAATGCGGTTCCCAATTTTCTCCGAACAAAGTTCCTTCTGTTAAACATTTCCTGAACATTTGGACAAATCACTGTCCAAAAGTTGTGATTCCCTCGTTGAATAGATTTTCAGTCTGCGCTCAATGTCTGTCGTTCAAGGCAAGCCGTGCGAATGCAAACAACCGCATCGAGAAAGATAAGCCACTACAAATCTGGCACAAACTGGTACGAGAGTGGTGTGTATAATGTTATAAACCTGTCACTGGCCGAAAATTTTCTGTTTGTGTTCTTCAGATCTTCTCTGCAACCGTGATGTTGTTATTCTAAAGAGGGTTTTGTTCACCTGTTTACAATGTCGGTGCGTCGTCTTGACAGTTAATCATTGTTGGAGTTCAGACTTACTTAAGGAAAAGACATTTGCACGACCGGGGATAAGTACTGTTAGAATTCTCTAAACTCTGGACGGCTGAGTCGAAATGCTTTTATAGTTCGATAAACTCGTTTCGTGGAGTTTCAGCTTTTATTCTGGTACAAGATGGGATGTAAACTCTGGACGGCTGAGTCGAAATGCTTTTATAGTTCTATAAACTCGTTTCTTGGAGTTTCAATTTTTATTCTGCTACAAGATGGTACGAGAGTGGTGTGTAAAGTACTGAGACATTTGCACGGCCGGGTCCGAGTATTGTTATAATTCTGTAAACTCTGGACGACTGAGTCGAAATGCTTTTATAGTTCTATAAACTCGTTTCACGGAGTTTCAGCTTTTATTCTGGTAGAAGACGGTACTTTAGTGGTGTGTAAAGTACTTTAAACCTATTAGTAGTTGAAAGTGTTCTTTATCTGCGTTCTTCCGATCTTCTCGCCAAACGTGCTGCTGTCATTCTAAAGAGGCTTGTGTTCACCTGTTTACAAAGTCGGTGCGTCGTCCTGACAATTGTTCATTGCCGGAGTCGGAAAAGAGTCGGAACAGCTGAGTTGGATTTCTTTTTGCAGTTCTACAAATCCTCTGAGTTGATTCTTGCTGGAATTGAGTCGTTGCAACAGGATTGCACGGTCGTTACAGTTCAAAAAACACGTTTTAAAGAGTTTGAACTCGAACGACTCCAACAAATTCGTGTAATTGGAACGTTGTATCCGAATTAAGTTAAAGGCAAAAACGTTTGGACGGCTGAAACGTAATACTTTTGTAGTTCTTTGATTCGTCTCGGGGAGTTTTATTAGGTTTGAGTAAAAGCAAAATCATATGGACGGTTAAGTCGGAATGTTTTTTAGTTCTAACAATTCGTTTCTTGGAGTTTCAGCTTTTGCTTGTAAGTTCTACAAATTTGTTCTTCAACATTTGCCACAGAATTGGCGTTTTGTTGGATTTGTGTCGTTGCAACAGGCTTGATTTAAAAAATAGGATTTGAATGAGGCTCTTGCTGATTTATAGCCCTATAAATTTATCCCCGGCCAACACGTGCGGGGTTGTTGACTGGAAGCAGTAATTCAGGTATCCTTGAGTCTTTCACGTGTTTGCTGACCTTGCTCTTTGCCCTACTTGTGAACACAGACATACGAGAGAGCGTTGACGAAGCACCGTCACAAGGCTTCTAACGAATCCGGGGAGTACGTCTGTTTAATTATTGACGGAATGGACCAGAGCAAGACCCTTTTACCGCACTTCCACAGATTGCCGAAGGATTCCAGAGTCAAAGAAGAAAGCTTTGTTAAGGTGCACGTCGTCGGTGCGAAGGTGTTAGGTATCGCGACAAAAGCATCTGCGACACTCTTTTTTGACAACTTCAAGTCAGATTCGAACTGCATGCTTACTGTGCTACATCGAAGAATTTGCGAACTTCCGACACCCTTCCCACGAGTTCTCTATCTCAATCTGGACAACACAACGAAAGAAAACAACAACAAATACGTACTTTCGTATTTGTTCTACCTTGTCAAAATGAACATTTTCGCAAAGGTGAAGTTAAGCTTTCTTCTCGTCGGACATACTCACGAGGATATCGATCAGATGTTTAGTTATTTCTCTCGCAGGCTCAATTTGCAGAGTGTTTTTGATCTTCTTGAACTTGAACACGTGATTCGCGAATCGTACACAGACGAAGTCGGAAAGGCAGTAGTTCTTGAGCGGATGATCGAGACTTACGATTGGAAGGAGTTTGTAGAACCACATTTGTTGAAGGTGAACGACATCAGTTTCAACCAGCATTTCAGGATCAAAAAAAATTACGGAGGAGAAGTACCGCTCTGGAGCAAGCAGTACCACAATTCGCTTTGGCAGCCGAACGACACCGAAGGTTTGAATCTCTTTCATTCAAAGCCAACAAGCGAGATTTTGGCTGCTCCTCGATATTCGATACGGTCTTTGGAAGGTCGGTTGAGGCCAGCTTGTGACAAAGAAGAAGTGGATGGTACGGGGCTGGAAGGGGACGGTGAAGAATGTGTACAACGCACTCTGTTAATTAATGCATTGAACGCTAATCTCGATGCATTCTTCAGATACATTCAACCCGATAACGTCATTTGGTGGAAACATTTCATCGAATGTCAGAAAAATACGGATTTCAATGACAGGAGCCTGAAGGTTCCTTTCTTCTGGCCGACAGTGCCGTCGGAAGGGCCTTGCGAGGACAGCGCGAAGCCTCTGGATGAAGATGAGATTTCTCGGAATTTGGCTCACCTCTTTCCACAAGAAAGACCAGTGTATGTTGGTGCGCGGAAGACCAAACAGTACAGAATGGAAAGAAAGGGACGCTACGAGGACTTGGAGATCGGGAAGTTCATTGCACTTCGAGCCTTCCTTGATGAGGAGGAACGAGACAAACCCTACCACGTAGGCAAGGTTGTGGAGTTACTTCTAGAAGAGCGTTTCAAGGTTGCTTGGTATGCTCAAAAGGAAAAAGGAGAAGCGTACTTACCGTTCTACAAGCCGACTGCGAGAGGAAAGTCTGGACGTGAGGTCGCTAAAGACATTTTTGATTGGAGTTGTGGCATTCTGTGTTACTGAAGACATTTTTGATTGGAGTTGTGGCATTCTGTGTTACAACTTTACTCTGAAGGCAGACAACACTCTGTTCGCTGCCACAAGGAAAAAGATCTGCGAAATGTTAAACGCTTCGATTTTCGTTGACATTAGAGACGGCGAAGAAGAGGCTGGTGCGCTTGTAAAGGTGTAGCTCGAAGACCTTCGACATGTCCTCCTGTTGAGCTGGTCCTCTCCAAAGGGCATAGGCCGCAGCACTGTACAGGGAAAGTTGTTTGTCCTTCGTCTTGTTGGCTCTTGTATTGTAAGCAATTTAGAATTCTGAACTTATAGGACTATAATTGAAATTGGGAATTTGTTTTCTCCTGTGTCTTCTGGGGTCAACATCTACAAGTCTTTTCGGGAAAGTTGTTTCTGATGCGTCTTGTCCGGTCTTGTATGTTAAGTAGTTTAGAGTACGAGTTTTTTCGAAGTAGTCCCAGGTTCGAATTTATAGGACTACAGTAGAATTACGGAATTCGTTTTCCCTTTTGTCTTGCGGAGTCTCAAATGTGAAAAATCTTTCTAAACGTTCAAAGTCAACCAAATTTCGGTCTCTGCAGTGTAAGCAGTTCAGGGTACGGGTTTTCTAGGGTAGTCCTGCTGTTGAACTTATAGGACTATAATTGAAATTGGAGATTTGGTTTCTGGCAAATCATATTCGGTCTCTGTATTGTATGCAGTTCAGGGTACGGGTTTTCCAGGGTAGTCCCGCTGTTGAACTTATAGGACTATAATTGAAATTGGAGATTTG